ATTGGCCGGCTTGGCAGTGTCCTCCTTTTTTGTTCTTATGTTAAGTATTTACTTTTTATTCACATTATGAAGGAAAATGTATGCTTATTGATTTCGGAAATTTAACACAGCTTCAACACATAACTGTGATTGGGAAGGGGCAGAATTACTTGGTAGGAAATATCAAGTGAGTCGTAACTGTCTATTTTTGCCAACATCAGTCATGTGACCTTTCTTAGTCAGTAATTTAAATGTAAATGTACTTAATTTCAATCAGAATTGAAAATCTAGAAGAGTAATTTAAAAAATTTCAACGACTAAAATAATGTAATTGAAAATCAGAAGGAATAAATAATTGAAAATTGTAATTTACATAAAATCAAGTAATTGAAAATCAGAAGAGTAATTTAAATTGTAAATGAAAACTGACTCAGAATCAAGTAATTACCTCAAGCCTGATTATATGGTTCTCATTATGATATAAAATGTTTTGATTATATTATAAATTCGTTGTAAAAATTTAAACATAAATCTCATGATATATATAGTTAACTTTAACACAACAGAAGAGGCGACGCGACGTGACTCCAGCACAGAAAGTAACAATATCTCCTCACCTGTGCAGCAACGGCAACATTACCAGCATCAGAAGTCACCATCAGAGCAGTACCACCAGCACCATATGCAACAGCAGCAGTTGACTCAGCAACAGCAGCAAACAGGGAATGAGGGGCCCCACCTGTTGCCGCCTGCCACCATGCCAGGTAGTCTCTGGTAGTGGAGGCTTAGCTATGTAGGTGGACCCATGGCTGGCGTAGCTCGCACCATTACTTCTCACCGTCTTCTCTACACTAACAATAACATTTCTTCTGCTTTGATTTTTTATTGCATTATAACTTGTTTATTTAGTTACCATTTTTCGGGTTTAATGTAGGATTTTTTTTAGAGATTTTCAGTTTTAGAAGCTAAAGGCTACTTTTCTACTTTAGCTTGTTTAAAATTTTTATATAATCTATCCTAGGCCTATTTTTTTGACAAGCCAGTAGTCTCCCACCTACTTAGGGTGACCTTGAAAATAAATGTTTTCAGTCATTAACATTTCGATCACAGATGCGTCCCTGACATCACTCCTGCAACACTTCCTTTAGGGTTCAGTCAATAAATTTTCTACCTCTAAAGGTCAAGATGGCTACCTAGTCTCTCTAAATCACTTTAGAAATTTGAACGTGCTTGTACTACAAAACCACAAGTTACAAAACCTTTCTACTCCACTCTAACGTGCCTACACAAGCCCTTGGAATGCCTGGGCCCGTAGCACTGAAAGCCTCTTCTGCCCATCCTTTCTTCCACCTCTGATTCATGCACCCTTGTAGTCATCTTATTTTGCTTATTCATCTCTAAATGTCTAAACCAATTAAACAACCCATCCTCAGTCTTTTGAATAATATCTTTACTAACAACACATTTAATCTCCTGACTCTGAATTCTTGTATATTATTCACTCCACTCATCGCTTTTATATTCGCCTCATACCAAATATAAGTGTTGATCCCACTATACTCTTGGTACATTCACAACTTTTTTTTCTACATGAATATTTTTTTGTGTGTGTCCTTATATGCTTCACTGCACCACCCCACTGGTTTTCCCTCTTTAACTCAATGATTGTACACAATTCTGATAACCATATCTGCTAACACGCTCACTCCTATCTAGATGTATTTTTCGGTCCTGCGCAATCGGAAAAGGTGTTCCCGTAATCAATAAGCCCAACCTCCTCCATCTTAATTAATGCAAGTAAAAGGAATATTAGACGTTGAACATAAAATTCCAATTGACCAAAATATAACTATAACAATCATATTCCCCTAATTCTCTACCTTTCTACAGAGTGCAGGAGTGCAGATTCAGGGCTCTTAGTCTATCCACGTAAGAAAGATATTTGATACATGGGGTCAACATTGTCATCCTTCTCTATACGTTTTCCAGCGCTCTTATATCCATTCTGTAATACGATGACCAGAACTGGAGCATAATATAAATGAGGCCTAACCAACGATATATAGAGTCGAATAATAACCTGAAGAATTTTATTTGCTATATTGTGAGCACATGAATTCTGTTGTCTTGGGTTGACATTACTGCTTACCAGAATCCATAAATCTCTTTCATATTTAGAGAGATTAAGATCTATGTTAATTAGTTTAAAAAATCATGGTTATTTTCTTTTCCAGTGCTTAGAACTTTACATTTGTATAAATTAAACTACATCTACCACTTCTCCGTCCACCGCATCAATCTACTCAGATCTTGTTATAGATCTCTAGTATCCTCGGTAGAGTTAATTCGACGGCCTACTTTTGTGTCATTGAGAAACTTCCTTTGTCACTGTTCCCTCATCTATATCATATATGTATAACGTGAACAACAAAGGGACCAACTCTGACCCCTGAGGAACACTGCTTATTACGTGTCCCAACTCTGATTTCTTCACATTTATGCATCTGTATTACCTGTCTATCAAGAACGCTTTTGTACAGGAAAAAAATTATCCTCCTATTCTATGTGTCTCTACTTTCTTCAACAATCTGAAATGGAGTCTCTGTCAAAAGTCTCAAATACCTTACTCAAAAAGTTAGTACATTCGTAAGACATGAGGTTCAGCTCTTTGGAAAACCGTGCTGAGAATCTTTGATAAATTTATGTTTTTCGAGGTGGTTTCGAATAGCGTCGGAAATTATTAATTCCATCAGTTTTGTCACAATGGAGGTTTTGTTAACTGGTTTATAATAACAATTGTGAACCTGTCTCCTCTTACTTTGTAGACAGGTGTCGCATTTTCCACTTTTCGAGCACTACGCCAGATGTGTTGAAAACACTTGCTAAAGGTTTGCCAAGTTCCTCCTTACATTCTTATAGAACCCTAGATAAGTTTATCAGTGCCTGGAGATTTATCTGGGTTGAATCTATCTATTTGTTTGAGAACCACGTCACTAGTGACCTATATATATATATTTATTTCTGGAGTTTCTGTAGAATATTCCTGCATAAAAAGTGAAATGAAATAAGTATTGAAGATTGTACACATTTCCACATCACTGACGGTGGGCTGACCTCAGCAACTTTTATAGGAGTCTATCTTGTCCTTTGCGGGTTTATATTTATACTCTCTTTAGCCTTTTCATATTCATTGTTTTATTTCTCTTTTTAACTGAACAAATAAATTTTTAAATTACCTCTCTTCCCTATTTAGCCTCCTGTAAATGTCTCCTTTGATCCATGATATGTTTTAATCTATTTTTTATAAATTAAGGGTAATTTTTTTTTACTTAATTTCCCTATTGGGCAGTTTTAATTATGTTTTAAAAATGTCATATTGGCAACTACATTACCTACCTGACCTACAAAATAATGACGGGTCAGGTAATACCAGTTCACCCCCCACGTAATTTTTCAGCCTTGTAAAATTGGCTAAGCAAAAGTCAGGGACATTGACTTGGTTGTAGTTTTTATGGTAATTCTGTGATATATTGAGACTGAGTAATTCGTGATTACTTTCTCCAGGTTCATCCTTAACATCAAGATTTTTAAATTTAAATTTGATTTCTTATTGGCAAGAACCAGTCAGGCGGGTTTTTCCTTTAGTTGGTTTTTGTCATAGAATATTTTAAAAAGCAATCCTGGATCGTATCAAGAAATTCTCTAGATTTCCTGTCATATTTCTCCAGTCAGTCTGTCTAAAGTAAAAGCCTATTAACACACATTTTTGTTTCTAGATAACTTAGTAATTTTATCCCATAAATTTTTTTGCGTTCCCTATCAAGGTTCATGAGCCTGTTAATCACACCCAAAATTAGCTTTTCACGTCTCTTGTGAAACTGTTGCCAAAGACGTTAAAGGGATCATTCCCCCAGACGCCTGGGGGACAAACCTCTTCATGCATAAAATAAATTTCAGTACAGTACGGTGAAAAAAATGTGTTCCTTGAACAAATATCGCGTGTAAACACTGTGATAACCAGCGTACAGCTTAGTGATAAAATAGGAGTGATAAGACACGAGGGGATAAACTTTTTTTTTTATATTTTATTTAAAACCAATACAGTTTAACATAAAAATAAAGAAACAGTATGGAACCTAATCAAATTAACTGACAAACGGATTGTACTTAACATGCTCGCAAGATATTACAAAAAAACTTACATCAAGAACATAACTAAAAACAAAATACATGTCACAGGGTCATGAATTGACATATATACAAAACCTTGCATATATATAAATTGTACATATAAATGACATCTGACAAAGGTTCAATACACTTGAACATAAAATATACAAAGAAGTTATATCAGTTAAATCCCATCCTTCACTTTAAAATCAAAAAAACCAAAACCTAACATCATAATCTGACTAGATAATCTACATATTTATCCCTAACAAACAGCTGAACATATCCCAACATACAAATAACAGAAAAGAATACAGCTTAGAACACAATAACAAGCTCTATACTGTTACATCACCCATATACAAATTTTTCAGACAAATGGACTAACGTCAAAACTAAATACGTCCTAGATATGTCTGTATACCATACAGACTAAAACTTAACTTTCAAGAACTTGCATGAACACCAAACGGTATCAGGGTACAGACCATAATTAAAACTTTAAAAAGAATCAATCATGCATATATAAAGTATTACATAACGTCTGACCCATGACAAAGGCTCAATACAAAGAAAGAGATATATATTTAAATATATACACATACACACCCCACCCACATCCACACACACCACCCACCCCAACCCCCCACTACACAAAATTTTCACAAATCACATTAATCAGATGCACTGTATGCACAATGCAAAACAGTATATAAGTATATCTCATCGTGAAAAAAACCAGCACGAAAACATAAATACAAACTAAAACACACTTCATGTCGCAAATAACTTATTACTCAAGAATCATGTTATAACAAACTGATACACATCATAATTATACATAAAAAATCTACTATATTATACCTCCCATTCTGAAAAGTGTTATATCTACCATAACGAGACCTTGAGCTCTACATCCACACTTGGATGCCATAAAGCCCCAATGAAAACCAGGAAACCATTCCAAACCCACATTCACAACACTCCCCACGACCCCCCCCCCAGGGAGGCCGCCCCCGCTGTTGCCCCCGACTCCCTCCAACCTATGAAAACCCCTTCACTCACTCATATCCATCACAGATTTACGAGAATCCCTAACGTTAGCATTCTATACCCCTCTGAGAAAGCCTGATCCCACCTCCTCCCATACAAATCTCTTTTTACGACACCTCGTACTATAGAACGTTACCGCAAGAACCTTTCTTCTCCCCTCACTATCCCCTCTCCCCCTCATCACCCACGACATATTTATATAATCTACCATGATATAATCTAAAGCTCTTTTTAAACCCTCGTCTTAACCCACCCATATCTAGACTTAGAGCACGCAAAACCGACACCCAGGGCCCCCCACCCCTCTGTACCAACCTACTTAACCAGCACCTAACCTCCTTAGCCCTTCACAAAAGTAAACTACATGGAACGCTGTTCCATCCCCTCCACAGATACCACACCCCCCACCCTCTACAACCTGTCTGTTTCGTAATATCTCCCCAGACGGAAGGATCCATGCAGAAAACGAAACATCACCTCACGCGCCCGGGTTTTAACTTCAATTTACTAAATCTAACCAATACTCTTCCACGCATACAGGGAACAAACCCTCAA